TTGAAGTCTGAAGTTTAGAAGCTTATCAAAAGTGGTATCTTGAAGTTTAGAGATGTTAAAGTCAATCCTTTTCTAGAACACGGGGGATCTTCTGTCAGTATGATTGATGTTTTTCGAGGAGATTTTTGGATTTTTGATGTTAACTTAGTGAGAACTCTGTTGGCTGAGGTGCACGTCAGATTGTGTGAAGTTGGTTATTTCAAAAATGATCATGTTGATTTCCAGGTGTGTGCACGTACTCTTGTAGGATGTGCATTGGTAAAAAGAGATATTCAAACCTTAATGGACCGGGGCATTTTGCAAGTCTATGTTAAGTAAATTGTAGATCAGGTAGATGTCATTGTTCCTTAGTTCGATATTCCCGAACCTGTTGAAATCAATTATCAAAGCAAAAGTCCTTTAGTTATTTGTTTGTTGGTACCAATTCTGTACGAATCTAACAAAGTTGTTCCATGGAGGTACAATTCTACTATTTGGGAATATGGGAAGGAAGTTGTGATTGAACCATCTCATCCTATTGAGAATATAGTAGAAGCTAGCAGAATGACTAAAAATGGGTGTGTGTTTGCACTGACACCTCTTCAAAAGGCTGATTCTGGGTCAGCAAGTAAGGGTGTGCATGGTAAAGATCTTGTTATGGTTAGTTAAGAGCCGATGGTTGTTAGTCAAGCTAATGAACCGAGGAAATATGACGACGTTTAATAATTGTTGAAGCTTATTAGAAGAAGTGACTTCAAGGTGGTGAATCAACTTCTTCAAACTAATTCTAAGATATCTATGTTGTCTTTGTTGTTGAATCCTGAAGCTCATCGGAACTCTTTGATCAAGGTGTTAGAGTAAGCTTATGTTGATCATGATGTGACCATAGACCAGTTTGATGATGTTGTTGGGAATATTACCGCATTCAATGTCTTGAGATTTAGTGACGAAGAACTACCATCACTGGAGGTAGGAAGCATAACTATACACTGCATATATTTGTTATACGTTAGGAAGATTCCTTATCCAATGTGTTGGTTGATACAGGTTCTTCACTTAATTTCATGCTGAAAGCTACTTTGTCAAAGTTGTCTTATCAAGGTGCTTCCATGAGGCATATTGGTGTTATTGTCAAAGTGTTTGATGGTTCTAAGAGAAAAATTATTGGTGAAGTTGATCTTTCGATGTGGATTGGTCTTCATGTTTTCTAGGTCACTTTTCAAGTGATGGACATTCATCATGCATACAATTGTCTTTTAGGAAGGCCGTAGATTCATGACGTTGGGGCAGTCACGTTTACTCTTCATCAAAGGCTGAAGTTTGTGAAGAACGAGAAGTTGGTTATTATGTATGGTGAGCAAGCCTTGCTGGTTAGTAATATCTCCTCTTTTAGATATATTGATGCTGATGCAGAAGTTATTGGAACTCAGTTCAAAGCTCTCAACATTGTTAATATTGTTCAGAAAAGTGGTGCATCCATTTCTTCGTTAAAGGATGTTCAACATGTTGTGTAAAGTGGTCAAGCTGATGGTTGGGACAATTTGTCATGCTTCCCAAGAACAAGAATATAGTTATTCAAGGGTTCTCACCCTATTCCCTTTGAAGATCATTCAGGCCTGCAACTTCTGTCAAAATAATCCAAGGTGTTTTCCATAATGTTAGCTTCACTCATCCTGGAGATTGAAGTGTTGCTTCCATTGTTGAGAATTCGGATTCAGATTGGCCTAAGTTCGTAACGCATGGAGATACTAGCGCTCAAAATTGGACAATCGTCAATATTCCTAGTGTTATTTACTCTGCCCAAGGTGAAAGTGACTTTTTCAGAGCTTTGTTTCACTTTTTAAGATCATTAATAAAAGATTGTTTTGTTATCCAATTGTGCTTTTGAATTTTTGCATTTTCCTAGAAAATGGTAACTAAAAAACCTAATAAAAACAATTTCAATTACTGCATATCACTTTCGCATAAATTTATTTTCTAAAACAAAGCATAAATCATATGTACAAATTAACAAATCTTAAACCCATTGAAAACAATGACCATACACCCTCTCCCAACTTTGAATTTCCTGTATTTGAGGCAGAAGAAGAGAGTGAGGAAGACAGTGATATTCCAGTAGAAATTTCTCGGCTACTTGAGCATGAGGAGAAGATTATGCAGCTGTGTAGAGAGCATGTCGAACTAATTAACTTGGGTTCTGAAGAGAACAAAAAAGATGTCAAGATTGGGTCACTACTTGGTGAAGATGTCAAGAAAATGTTGATATAGTTTTTGAAAGAGTATGTTGACGTGTTTTCTAGTCTTATCAAGATATGCCAGGACTGGATGGTGATATTGTTACGCATTGTTTTCTGATTAAGCCAGAACGTCTTCCAGTAAAGTAAAAGTTGAGAAGAACTCATCCTGATATGGCTGTCAAAATCAAAGAGGAAGTACATAAGCAGATTGATGTCAGTTTACTTGTGACTTCCCTTTATCCTCAATGGGTGGCCAATATTGTGCCAGTTCCAAAGAAATATAGAAAAGTAAGAATGTGTGTTGATTATAGAGATTTGAATAAATTCAGTCCAAAAGATGATTTTCCTTTGCCACATATTGATATGTTGGTTATAACAAAATTCAATATTTTCTCCTTTATGGATGGTTTCTCTGGTTATAATCAGATTAAAATGGTGCCAAAGGACGTGGAAAAAATAATGTTTATCACCCCCTGGGGAACATTCTATTACAAATTAATGTTCTTCGACTTGAAGAACGTTGGTGCTACGTACCAGAGGGCTATGACTACCCTATTCCATGATATGATGCACAAGGAAATTGAGGTTTAGGTTGATGACATGATTTCCAAGTCTAAGACTGAGGAGTATCATGTTCATTACTTGTTGACGTTGTTTTAGCATTTGTAAAAGTTTAAACCCCGCTTGAATCTGAACAAATGCACTTTTGGTGTATGTTCTGGGAAGCTTTTGGGTTTCATTGTATCCAGAGAGGTATTGAAGTAGATCCAGATAAAGCTGGAGCTATTCGTGATATGCTTGCGCCTCAAACAGAGAAGCAAGTCAGAGGATTCCTCAGACGTTTGAATTATATATCCATGTCCATTTCTTACATGACTCCCATTTGTGAACCAGTCTTTAAGTTTCTTCATAAAGATCAGAGTATTGAGTGGAGTGAAGATTTTTAAAAAGCTTTTGATAGTATCGAAGATTACTTTCTTGAGCCTCCTATTTTTATCCCTCATGTGGAAGGGAAACCTTTGATTATGTACTTAACAATTGTTGTTGCGGTAAAGTAGTAAGAAAAAGTAAGTATTTTTAGTTTTGTTTTATCGTCTCCATATGGATTAGTGTGAGGGAAAGAATGTCGTTCAATAGTCTCCGCATTTCTGAGTTTGGTTTTGAATGGTTTGGAAGTGTAAAGTGCCAAAAGTGAATTATATGAACAAGAATTTAATTTCACCTACTCGTCAAATACTTAAACTTACTGATCGATTGTACGCAACCTAAAACACTCATCAATATCATCATGTATCACCCACAATAGAGGTCATGTCTAACCCAAAGTTGAGAGAACAATTGTATTATCTCATCGGTGTTGTCTTGTGCAACTAAACAACACTGAGAATTAAGCATTGATACTCACGTGAATATTAAGCCTAAATCTATCTCTAGAATATAGAACCAAATAGATGTTCATCCTAAATCTAGATTCAAACCGTATATGTCTACTCAAATCCAAGATAAAGCAAGCAATCATCAATATTGATTTGTAAGATAACTTTTATACAATAGCCATGAGAATTAAATGTACATATAATCAAGGTAAACTTACACACAAAACCCCCAACAAATATAGGGTATAAAGAGAAGAAGAGAATATGAACAAGAATCTCTCAGTTTATCAACACTAATTGAATCAAACCCACCTAAAATTAGTCAAGATGTAACCTCCAAATGTTGTTTTCTAAGCTCTATCATCAAAGAATATGGTTGATGGAGTTGGGAGACAAAAACCCCCAAAACCATCACCTAAAAGTATGTTCTAATTCTATAAATACAAAATTCGGTTCAGAAGAATTCCCCTGGCGAATTTGCTTTATACACTCACATCAACTTGCGCAAAATACACAGACTGGAAAAAACATCTACATTCTCCCGGCGACATAAAGCACTCGCCAAGTGAATTCCTCGCGACCTGCTCGCCCTTCGGATGACTCACAATCCCTATTCATCCCAAGTCAGTAGCTACTATAAATTTTTCTTTTCCAATCGCCCCTCGCTTGCCACCTGCTCGCTTGACAAATTTTCCATGACAAAGCTTCTTTGCTTCTTTGGCTCACTTTGCTTCTTTGCCTTATTCTTTAATGAATTGCTATAAAATTTGCACAAAAACAAATACATCAACGATACCACGACTAAATACACAAAAGGTGGTATTTTATTAAAATTCAAGGAATTCAATGATAAAAAATACAAAACAAAGTCGAAAAGTGCCAAGTTTTTGTATGGAAAAATAGAGACAATTGACGCTTATCAAACTCTCCCCAACTTAAAACATTGTTTGTCCTAAAACAAAGGTCTCTCTAACCAACAGAAACAAAAGTAATCACCAAGAAATCATGAATCAACAAGTTTTTAAAAAGGGTTAATACCTATTTTCACCCCTGACATATGGGGTGTATTTGAAAAACCCCCCTGCCAAAAAAAAGTTCCAATTGTTACCTTGACAAATTTTAAAAGTTTCAGTTTTTACCTTGAGGATGCCACATCACCTAAAAGGCTGATGTGGCTTATATTTTTGTTACATTTGTAAGTTTTTATTATGCCATGTCACACAATACCAAATAAAATGTCCAGAATGCCCTTTTATTAAAATCCCAAATTATTTGCCAAATGTTATGTTTCAATTCAGACCCTCCAAATTAGGGTGCAGCCATCCATCTTCATTTGTTTGCAAAATTATTTTACAAAAAAAGCCAGTTTCAATTCAGACCCTGCGATTAGGGTTCTTCATCCTTGCAAATGGGTGTGTTTAATTTAGTGTTTCATCATGGGGGAAGTTTCGTGCAAGACGGCCATATGTATTATAGAGGAGGTAGTGAGACTACTGTTGAAGGTCAGGACGAAGATAAATGGAGCTTTTTTGAAGCTGTTAGTCTGGTTAAAGATTGGGGTTATGAAGGGTTTAGGCTATGGAGAAAGATTCCGCAAACGGATGAAGGGTTTACAAATGTTGTTGATGATGCAGGAGCTGTAGAAGTTGCTAAGCATTGTATGTCTTGTAGGGTTCACGACGATCTTTGGGTAGAGCACGGTGTAGAACACATGATGACCAAGGTTCTGGTACCTAATGTTGATGACTTCAGCACCTCTAGTGGAGATGATAGTACTGGTGACTATGTTGATGCAAGCCAATGTTTCAATGACAGTGAAGAGGAAAGAGTAATTGACGTAGAAGAAGAGCAATTTGAACAAGTGGAGGTAGTTGTTCCAGTTAGTGGGAATAGGGTGGAGATCGAAGGGAAATCATTGAGATTCAAGCGTTGTGCATCCAAGGATCCCAAAAAGATGAAAGAAAAGAGCAAAAGGGACAAGGTCAGTGTTTTGGTGCCCAAAAGTGTCTTAGGATCTTGTTCAAAGAGGGCTACAAGGAAATGTGAAGATGTGGATTATGCTAGTGAGGAACTTGAAAGTTCAGATGCTGATGAAAGTGACATGGATGACAAACCTTCCAAGCCAAAGTATGAGAAGTTCAGATCAAAGATGCTTAACAAAGACTTTCAATTCAAATTAGGTATGGAGTTCATTTCTCTTTCTGAATTTAAAGATGCTATCAGGGATTGGTCAGTATTAAATGGTAGAGAAATAAGGTTTGTTAAGAATGAGAGCTGTAGGGTTAGGGTTGAGTGTAAGAGTAAATGTGGGTTTTTGGCATTATGTAGCAAAGTGGGAGGTAGCCTCACTTACCAGATAAAGACTTGGGTGGGGACCCACACATGTGCAAGGGTATTAAATAACAAGTCTGCCAATTCCAAGTGGGTCTCTAAGTTAGTGGTTGAAAAGAGGAAGTCACAAGGGAAAGTTAAACTGTCTGAAATTATGTCTGAGCTTAGACAGAAATATTAAGTGGCCATTACCAAAGGGAATGCTTGGAGAGCCAAAGCAATGGCTGAAGAAATAATTGAAGGTGATGCAAAGGAACAATATAACATGTTATGGAGATATGCAGCTGAGTTGAGAAAACATTGTGCTGGGAACACTGTCAAACTAAATACTGAGAGACCACATCCAACACTACCACTAAGATTTGGTAGATTTTACTTCTGTTTTGATGGATGCAAGAAAGGGTTTACCAAGGGTTGTAGACCATTTATAGGGGTAGATTGGTGTCATCTTAAGACACAATATGGAGGTCAGTTGTTAATTGTTGTAGCAATGGACCCGAATGACCAATATTATCCTTTGGCATTTGGTGTGGTGGAGACTGAGACAAAAGAAAGCTGGAGATAGTTTATGCAATTGCTAATGGAAGACATTGGAGAAGAGAGAAAGTATGTTTTTATTTCATACCAACAAAAGGTACAAATATGCACTAATTACCTTTGTTATTCATATTTATGAAACATGCACTAATTTTGCACTAATATGCACTAATTATGCTACTGTAGTATGTCTTAATTCTGGTACTGAAGTATGTCTAATTCTGCACTAATATGCACTATTACCTTTGTGACATAGTTCTGGTTTATACAAAGTGCACTAATTCTGGTTTATTTGCATAGTTCTGGTTTAGTTGCATATTTCTGGTTTATTTCCCTATATGCACTACTTAATTCTGGTACTGAAGTTCTTCATGAAATATCTTACCTACTGCTAATGTTACATGCCTTGTTCTGTTGCTAATGTTCAATATTTATGAGGAATATATAAGTTTCTAATGTACATGCTTTTTTCTGTTGTCTTGCTGTTTTTAGGGACTTGTTAGTGTCTTTGAGGAAATGCATCAGCAAGTTGAACACAGGGTCTGCCTCAGACACCTGTATGCAAATTTCAAGAAGAAATTTGGAGGGGGAGCTGCCATTAGAGACCTGTTATTGGGGCTGCAAAGGCTACTTACTTCCAGGCTTGGGAGAAGAAGATGAATCAGCTTAAACAAATTGATAAGAAAGCATGGGAATGGCTGATGGGAGTGCCAACAAAACTATGGTGTAAGCATTCATTTTCATTTTACCCTAAGTGTGATGTTTTGATGAATAACTTGAGTGAATCTTTCAATAGTACAATATTACAAGCTAGGGATAAGCCAATACTCACTATGGTAGAATGGATTAGGAACTACGTGATGAATAGGATTGTTAATAGTGTTGTTAAGCTTGATAAGTGGAAGCATAATGTCATGCCTAATCCTAGGAAAAGGCTTGATAAGGAAACATATCTTAGTGGAGAATGGCTGCCTACATGGAGCAGTGGTGATTTGTGGCAAGTCCATCACCCATATAATGGATTGCAGTTTGTTGTTGATATTGGGAAAAAAACCTGTACTTGTTGTTTTTGGGATCTTGTGGGCATACCTTGTAGGCATGTTGTTTCTGCAATACAGTATCAAAACTTAGATCCTGAGAAATATGTTGACCCTTGTTACATGAGAGAAGCTTACAGGGCATGTTATGAAAACAATGTTAGTCCAATAAATGGCATGGACATGTGGCCAACTATGGATGCTGAAGAATTGTTGCCACCACAATACAAGAAGGGACCTGGAAGGCCTAAGAAACTGAGGTTTAGAGAGTTGGATGAGAATGGTTCAAGGATGAGGAGGGTAGGTGTAGCATATAGATGCACGCATTGTGACAAATTTGGCCATAACTCTAGGAAGTGTCAAGCTAAGGAGCAAGATCCTAATGCACTAAAGAGAAAGGTATTGTGTTCATGAATCTGTTACTGAATAATATTGTGTTCAGCATATTGAAATGTCTTTATTTATATCTGTTTCTGAATAATGCAGAGAAAGACACCCAGGACCAAAGTGTCAAAAAAATTTGATGGGATTGTGGATGAAGGCCCAGAGATGGATGAAAATGTTGATACAACTGCAACTGGAGGTGGAACTGTGGATGAAGACCCAGAGATGGATGCAAATATTGATACAACTGCAACTGGAGGTGGAACTGTGGATGAAGACCCAGAGATGGATGCAAATGTTGATACAACTGCAACTGGAGGTGGAACTGTGGATGAAGACCCAGAGATGGATGCAAATGTTGATACAACTGCAATTGGAGGTGGAACTGTGGATGAAGGCCCAGAGATGGATGCAAATGTTGATACAACTGAAACTGGAGGTGGAACTGTGGATGAAGGCCCAGAGATGGATGCATTGCTGAATAATATGATGGATCTTTATGAAGAACAACAATCACAAGTTGACAATCCCACACAACCTACTGCTATGCAACCTCCCCCAACACATGAATCACAACCTGCTGCAATGAAACCTCTCCCAACACATGATTCACAACCTGCTGCAATGCAACCTGACCCTGCTGCTACTAATGTCAAAAAACCTTCAGCTAGGAAAAAGGCCGTGGCCGTGCCTTGGAAGCGATCAAGAAAGAGAGTTAGTGAAAGATTGAAGGAAGTGAGGAATGCCAAAAGACATGGTGGGCCTGGATCAACACCTGATGCACCTTTGACCATAGGTGAAGAAACTGGTGGTAGTACCTCAAAGAAGATATCAAGGAAGAAGAGGAAGGGCATTGATCAGTAGTTGTGCACATAGTGTGCTATTTTGTAAAATTCAATTTGAAAGTTTCCTGTGTCATTTTGTTACTTTGACTTATTATCAGAACAGGCTTGGCTTAAGTTATGTATCATGTTATTGTCATTTTGTATCACAGATGTACTTGACTATGTATCACAACAGATTTGCCTGACAATGTTAAAGTCATTTTGTATCACAAATGTACTTGACTATGTATCACAACAGATTTGCTTAACAATGTTAAAGTCATTTTGTACAACAGATTTGCTTGACTATGTATCACAACAGATTTTCTTAACAATGTTAAAGTCATTTTGTACAACATATTTTCTTGACTATGTATCACAACAGATTTGCTTAACAATGTTAAAGTCATTTTGTACAACAGATTTGCTTGACTATGTATCACAACAGATTGGCTTAACTATGTTATTGTCATTTTGTACAATAAATTTGCTTAAGAACAAAATTACTTAACAACAGATTTGCTTAACAACAGATTTTGTACAACAGTATTGCTTAAGAACAGATTTCCAAAATATCAGAACAAATTTCCAAAATATTCCAAAACAGTTTTACTTAACAATATATCAGAACAGACTTAAGCAAATATGTTCCATAAGAAACCATAAGAAAGAAATATATTCCATATTCCATAACTCAACTAACCAAAACTCATGAGAGTAATATATTCCATATTCCATAACAAAGAAATATAATTCATGAACTAAATTTTACATAGGTTACAACTTCCTAGAACATAAGCCACAGCTTCATGAATTTTTACATGAACTAAGTAAGAAATGAACCAAAAGACAAATAAACCTAACTAAAACATAATTCAGCTTCTTTTTTAACTCATCCATTTTTTTCTCCATGGCTTCCATCTTCAGTGCGATATCTCTCTCCAGTTTGCTCATCAGTTCTACTGAAACTACGTCCGAATGGCCGTTATCACTGAAATCATAAGAAAATTCATCATCCCAAACAAATGCGTTGCAGTCATCTCCTTTACCCCAGAACTTACACTTCCAGTATTTTCTCCCGGGATTTGCAACCGATTTTGAAACAAATAACTTCATGGAGACATTGTGGCCGCATTTGGGAGTTACTCTACCATTTGAAGATAAGCTTGAAGTAGAACAATTTGGTTGACTCATGTTTATGAAATCAAAGAAAACTTAAAGATGAAGAGGAAAGCAAAAGTTGGGTTGCTGAGATGAAGATGGCTGTGCCCTAATTTGGAGGGTCTGAATTGAAACATAACATTTGCCAAATAATTTGGGATTTTAAGAAAAGGGAATTCTGGACATTTTATTTGGTATTGTGTGACATGGCATAACAAAAACTTACAAATGTAACAAAAATATAAGCCACATCAGCCTTTTAGGTGATGTGGCATCCTCAAGGTAAAAACTGAAACTTTTAAAATTTGTCAAGGTAACAATTGGAACTCTTTTTTTGGCAGGGGGTTTTTCAAATACACCCCATATGTCAGGGGTGAAAATAGGTATTAACCCTTTTAAAAATTAACAAATGTATGGTTCAAAAGAAAAATGTACAAGTAAAGAAATGCTTACCACTATCCTACAACGACAATACGAAAATGAAACAAATCCTAAGTACAAAATTCATACAAAACATTCCAAAACAACACGTGCTCAATCATGAATCACACATAGCAAAATTTCATCAAGGGATGAAAAACACACAAACATGAGGGACTTTGACACTCACCCAACAATCTTGCAAACAAAAGATTAAATTATGCATTCATCCTAGAAGCTCGTATTGAAAACATAAAATCAAGAATCACAAGAACTTTCAAGGTTATAATGTGTCCTAGATAACAAAGAAGGGTCAATTTCTAAAGGTAATTGAAACAAAAATTTGCCTAATCCTATGGGAGTTATCAACTCACAAGGGATCAAGCACGAAACTTCAATCACACGTTTTCTCTTTCCCCAAATGTTACACTATTCCACACAACTTATTAGTACAAATATTTTCTATTTTTTCTTTTTCAAAGCTTTTTCTTTTTTCTTTTCTTTTTCACATTCATATTTCTTTTTTTATCAATCCTTTTATTTTTATAAACCTCTTAGAAACCAACATTTTCTCCCCAACTTGAATATAATCAAACATGTAATGTGAATTCTCCCAAACTTTCTAAGGCAAGGGTAAAAATTCAAGCCACAAGTAACGGTTGAGGGTTTAGGAAAAAATTCAGAATCCTATCTAAAATCAACAATGAACTAATTAGTTATATACAAGTTCCAAAATTTATCATCAAAATGGATTCTCGCAAAAGGCTCAAAGGGGGTAAGAAAATTCTCACACACTGACAAGATAAACTACTTTTTGT